TTTTTTATAAACAACTTATGTACAGAACGGCGTTGGATACATAGGTCCCACCAGGCCGATCCTTACATTTCCCCCTTTACAAGTCGCGTCTTCTCAATAGCTCCCAGCTATGGAATTAGCAAATCCAGCTTGGATGCACAATGTAAGAGGATCACACCGCATATCCTTCGGTTTTTCTTTTTGATGGCTCTCACTTGCCCACACTACGCGACTCGGGTCGGGTGTACGGGCGTACAGCCACGGTGCGACTGGAGTGTTAGCACTGCTTGAGTAGCAGTTGTGCGAGGATGACTCAAGCTCGTCGATTCGACGGTGCTTTCGCCGTCGGCAATCATGGAGGTGATCAGCTTGCTTATATCATGCGCGAGTCTGAGGTTCCTGGGGGCATTGTCGTCTCCAAGTTCCAACCCAGACACTTTACGTCGGCAACACCTCAAACATTTATTTATATTTTAATATATATTATTGATCTATCTGTAATAATAGTTTTAGTTATGACTCGTTGTAAATTATGCACCTACTAAGTATCTTAATATGGCCAAAAAATTCTTTAGCATATTAAGCCATTCATATTCTAATGTTGTAATATGGAGAATGCATGAACTTTTTTAGTGCAATGGAATGGTTAAGTAAGTATCAATATATGTTGTTTCCTTAGTAAAGGTGCATGAATACATTTTGATTGAGAAGGAAATACAAACTTATATGAATATATCATAATAGTCTTTAGCTTATCAAATAGTTGATGCATCTGTTTCAAGTGAAAAAAAAAAGCTAAAAACAAAACTTGTGCTTGTTTGTTTTACTGAAAATAGTACAATGCAAGGGGCGGTCCTAATTCTTTCATGAAGTGTCAACCGACTCCCTATTTTCAAAATGCACATTCAATTCCCAAGTTTTTAAGTGATACATCCGAGGTCCTAAATCCTTCGGGCCCTCTTTGACCTGCCTGCCTGGTGCTTCGACCGCATCCACATCGACACGGGGCCCAAGAGGCGTAACCACCAAACATGCATATTTGCAACCAAAAAACTAGCCCTAATTCCTTCCAAATCACAGTCTCATTCCCTCTCCCCACCACTCTTTGCAATTCAGAAGGCAATTGATAGCGGAGGTGTTGCTCTGCTGAGAAGCGGAGGCGATCGACGGGTGTGGTCCTCCGGGAGTGTCCGAGCCCATGTTGATCGTCATTCATTTTCCGCCGTTTGTCATCGCCATGGAGTGAACCATGATTGTGTGCTACAAGAAGCTAACGTCGGTGCGTCATGCCGAAGTCGGCGGAGGTTTGGGTTGCAGACTCCCAACACCGAGGCCCACACTGAGGCTAGCCAACCCTCGAGCTCTTCAGAGCCGAGATTGAAGGAAGAGGAGATGGAGGAGGAAGAGAACAAGGATGGAGGCGGTCCCTTGGCCCTAGCAGAGCTCGCTGAGGAGGCGGCGCAACAGAGGAGAAGGAGGAGGTGGTCATGGACGTTGACGCCACAACTCCGGTCGGCAACCTCTTCTCTGTGGTGTGGTTGGAGGAGGAAAAACTGTGTCGCCCTACTGGCGGCCTGGTGTGCCTGTCGTGGGCTTCCATTATTGCAGCGCCAACATGCACCATGCGTGCGATGCGAATCGGCCACCGCAGGAGCTAGGGCAACCTAGGGAGGGAGCCGCGCAAGCATTCCGTATCAGAGGAGGCGGCGGGCGGCTGGGTTGCGTGAGCTCCGATGGTGGGTTCGACGACCTCCATCTCAGGTATGAGAGAGAGGGGAGATAAGTTGGCTGGGTCGTTGCTGGTGGGGCCTAGATGAGTCGGTGATATCTAGGCTGACATAGGGGACATGTCTGAGGCTTTTCAATATCCGTCCCTACATGGGCTCAATTTGAAGGGTGCCGCATAATCCGGATATATATAGGTGAGAAGTCAAGGATGGACTTTTTTCTTCTCTCTCTCTCTCCAGGTTGTTCAACCAGACGTACATGGGACAGGACAGGTGTCTGATTTTAGATGCTTATGAAGAGCAACTTCAAGAGATCCCGTATCTCTAAATTAACTGTTGTTTACGGATAGTAAGAGGCAAAAAAACCTCTCGAAAAGATCCCGCAAACTAGCCTTAACTTTAGAGAATTATGTAAAATTGGCATTTTCTCCCCGCAAATTTACGAGAAGATGACCTTCCTGTATCTTTTGGCGGAATTGTAACCGCCTAGTACTTCCGCACATGGCCTGCCGGAATGCCGCCGCCCCACCGGAACCTCGTTGTCGTCGCCGTGTAGCCGCCGCACATGTTAGAACGCCGCAGCCGTGCGCCGATCGCGCCACCACCCGCCGCTCATGCCGCCGCTGCCGCCAATGTGTCGTTGGCCGTCACGCGTGTCACTGACTAGCGGCCGCTAGGCCATTTAGCTAGTTATGTTTAATGACAAATAAAATAGGAAATATTTGGGCAAAGAAGTTTACGGGAACTGACAAAAAATTGCGTCCAGACAACTTCCTCTAAATGTTACGGGAAGCAAAAAAAAAAAAAACTGGTTTTACTGGAAGATTTTTAGGGGAACTCTTGGAGTTGCTGCAAGTCCATTGTATTTGCACATAAGTGAATAGCCCTGGCATGTTTAAGGATCCTTCTTACTCAAAGTATCAAGTAGGCAAGCAAGTCAACTAAAAAAACGAAAAAGCAAGTAAGTTACTTGATCCAAACCGGGAAGCCCTTGTTAAAACTAACAAAACTACACCGTGACACTCAGTACCGTTGCTGGGTTCATCCAGCACGGCATCAATGACGACACCTGGTTATAGCCGCCCCCACGTATCCAATATTTTTCTTGACAAGATTAGGAAGTAAGGACATATGCAGCTCACCAACATCCCCAGCTAATTCCACCTTCCCAAACAAATACCACTCCTATAAATTCACGCTAACCCGAATTTCAAAAGCACAAACAGCTAGCCGGCCTGATCAGCGCAAGCAAGAGGCATCGATCCCAAGAAAAAGCCTCTTGCTTACACTATCAAATACCGATCCAAGGGAAAGAGAAATCCATCAATGGCGGCGAGAGCCATGTCCGGCAGCAGCATCCTCCTGGCCACTGCGGTGGCAGCGGCCCTGCTGGTGGCGTCGGCGTCGGCGCAGTCCGGGTGCACGGCGGCGCTCGTCGGGCTGTACCCGTGCATGAACTACATCAGCGGCAACGACACGGCGCCCACAAAGTCCTGCTGCTCGCAGCTCGGCTCCGTGGTGCAGTCCCAGCCACAGTGCCTCTGCAGCGTGCATGAACTACTCGTCGTCGCTGGGCGGCATGACCATCAACAAGACGCGCGCGCTCGAGCTGCCCAAGGCGTGCAACGTGCAGACCCCGCCGGCGAGCAAGTGCAACGGCGGTGGCGGTGCTCCTGGCGCCGCCACGCCGGAGGTGCAGACACCTGCCGGCTCGGGGTCGAAGGCGACGCCATCGGCGTACCTGCAAGAGAACGGCGGCTCGTCAGTCAGGGGCACGGCGGGCCTGGTGTTCGCGCTCGCGGCTGCTGCGGTCTACGCCGTGTCTGCCGTGTAGTGTGAGTGAACATCTCGGCACTGGACTGAAGCGGTAGCTGGGTGGCTACTCAGAAATTTGTTCCTTTGTGTGGCATGATTTGATTTTCATATTGGTTTAGCATTGAGTATTTGGGAATTGGGAGGAGAATTTGGAGTAGCATTATTTGGTTTGTTGGTGCGGTCGAAATAATGAGCTACTGGTTGTTTTCGTCTTGTTCCCATTGATTGTTGGTACAAACGCGTAGTAGATTCTTTTTTTCTTTTCGAATGATGGTTATCCTGTATTCATTAAAAATAAAAGAGTTGTTCAGTTAATTAAGAAAAACTGGGCGAAAATCATCACAACCGCTCCCTCCCCCCTCCCCCCCACACACACTCCAAGGAGGGCCATGGCGAGACAACACACATGTGTCCTCGTCATCACTCCTCCCCTAGAGGCGTCATCGCCATTCCTACGCTCTCAGCAAACGACTCCGACTTCGCCGTTGGTGATCGACGACAACCCACACTGAAGCGGACACGTGAAACTGCATGAAAATCTGCCTCAAAACTCAGTCACTGGCGGCCAGACAACGCAACTCCGACTCTGACGGACAAAACCAGGCATGGCTGGCGCCACGGAAGGTCGCCGAACGGGCCACATGCAGCCGGTCATCGTATACCACAGGGGCCCCGCAGCAGCAACTTCAACTCCACAACAGCAAACAAACTGAGACAATCCCGCGGACACGCCGAAGAAGAGCTGACTACCGCAACCATTGCCGTGTCGCCAACATCGCTCCCACCGTCATCGTTGTCACAGGAGTCTGGACGCCACAACCATCGCCAAACCACCGGTCCCCCCTGCCGATGCCGAGCTCCGAGACGAAGCCCCCAGAGGGAAAACGACACACCAAAGCGTCGCCATCGTCCGATACAAGATTATGGGTTTCCCCTGGAGAGGTCGCAATGGCCGGATCCGTGCGGGAGGGGTGCAACAACACAACACCGATGCCTCCAGGAAGGTCAACGACGGGCTCGGCCACCACCATTGATAGTCACGACACAAGGCCGAGACAGGGTGTTCACCC